AAAATAATGTGTTTTTTGAACATTAAAGCATGTCAACATATTCTGTTACACCAAATACACAAAATAATGATCTTCAAAAAAGCATCATATGACCTCTTTAAATAATAATAAAAAAGTAAAAATATGCATGGTATTATAATGTTATACTAACATTAAATTAAAACAATGGAAAAACCCTTAAGATGACCTGTAGAAATAAAAAAACACATCTTAAGCACTCAGAATAACATAAGTGGACTTTGAACGATTAATTGCCGCTTTGAACGATTACGTAATTGTGGCATCCATAATTGTAATCGCGATTAGAAATTCGATTGATTGTGCAGCCCTATGTATGTGTGTGTATTTATATAATAATGTGTTTTTTGAACATTAAAGCATGTCAACATATTCTGTTACACCAAATACACAAAATAATGATCTTCAAAAAAGCATCATATGACCTCTTTAAATAATAATAAAAAAGTAAAAATATGCATGGTATTATAATGTTATACTAACATTAAATTAAAACAATGGAAAAACCCTTAAGATGACCTGTAGAAATAAAAAAACACATCTTAAGCACTCAGAATAACATAAGTGGACTTTGAACGATTAATTGCCGCTTTGAACGATTACGTAATTGTGGCATCCATAATTGTAATCGCGATTAGAAATTCGATTGATTGTGCAGCCCTATGTATGTGTGTGTATTTATATAGACATAATAAATATACACAGCACACACACATATATTATGTAAACCAAAACCTTTATTTTGGATGCGATTAATAGCGATTAATCGTTTGACAGCACTAGAAAAAAAGTTTAAATGCTAACAAAATTTCTATTAATAATAATGAATGCAAAGACCTAAAAGTGTTTTAAAAGAAAATTATAGGAAACGACAGAAACTGTAAGCTTCTGGCCAGAAAAAAAAAAGAAAAACAGCACATTAATATGTGAGATGATGGTTTGAAAAACAAAATGCTCAGTGACACATAGACAACACGACTAAGCTAAACTCGAACGACTGCAGTCTGCTCATGCCAAAGCAGTGGGCCTGTTTCACTTGACTCAGCTCCTCTACAGACCCGTGCAGACCATGTGAATTAAATATCATCTATATTTAGAGTTTATTACAGCTATCAGCTGTATTTAAACCCCTTAAACCACTGCATGGGTTGCAAATATGCCTTTAAAAGGGAACACAAATGCTCCACCACAAATTAAGCATTTGCTGTCACTCAGAATACTCAAATAATCTGCACTCACCCAGAGTACAATGCCCGGATGCCTTCTTCACGACCAATCCTGAACAAAGCGTGGAACATGCCCCGATATCGGACCTCCATACAGTGCGTCTGCCCTTGAACCTGGAGCCGTGTTTTTGTGAGATCAATGGGAAATGTACCTGCAAGATTTAATTATCAAATGATCAATGGGTGATTTAATAATCAAATCTATAAATACTTTATTATGCATACTAGTACTTTATCTATTATCAGCTTCAGTTGTGAATGTCTATTGTCTCTCTTATCTTTCATCTAATGTCCCACCCCAGACTCTTTCAGTTTTATTGTACACTGTGGTGGGGAAATGTTGTTTTTCTTGTTTTTTGAACAAGAGTGCCCTTGCATTAACAATCAAGGCTCATTTCACAGTCCCTTCAACGTGGCAAAAAAAGTAATTGTGCTTCTAAAGAAAATACTGTAAAAGTACTGTAAAATCTATATGATAGTATATTTCAATACAGCAACTAATAGTAATAATAAATAGTAATAACAATGACTTAACAAATAATAATTATAATAATGTTAATAATAAAAATATACTTGTAATGCATATATTTTATTGTTCTCACCTAATAATTATTTACTTTTAAGTGTGTCAAAAAGTATAAACACGTTTCAATATATCAGTTATTGGACATGTAAGCAAAAAAAAAAAATCTATATTCTCTCTCAAATATTAGTATGCATTATGGCACTCCATTTGAGATCTTAACATGTGTTAAGACATGCTCTATGCAACCATTAATGACTAAAGAGATCTGTAATAGATGATGATGATGTAAAAACAGCAGGTGCACAGACTCACCGAATTCTGCGACAATTGAGGCCATTCCCCCATAGACAAAAGGCTTCCAGTTCAGGTTTGCCATTTCTGTTGCGGCCCCTTCGGCTTGATGGAGTCCTACTAAAAACAGCAGAAAGCCAACATAGGAGCAAATCAGCTGTTTTAATCTCACATTGTACAACATAGCGCTACCCGTCTGTGTTCCAGCCAGTCTTGTCAGACGCATAGACAAATGTGCACCGGAATAAGAAGAACCGCATTAAAGATTCATTGCAAGCGCCATATGAGATTTGCGGAAATCCTATTGGTTGTACACGCTGTCAATCATTTTGTCGGCGATGCCGATTAGTCGAAATGATCTGATGCTCCACCTACTTCCGCCGTCAAGGAGGTTGAGTGACAGCAAGTAGCGGCTCACCTATTTTGATCAAACCGTGTAACATGTAACTTTTAAGGTTACCGTTTAAAATTAAAAACAGTAGCGTATAGCCACCAAACGCACGAATATAAATACGATGTGTCTATGTTGTAGACTTAGCATGAAAGATCGCTGTACTTGGTTCTGTATCCGACATCTAACGTTAACGGTTTGCAACTGTTAGCCAGGTAGAGCAGAACTCTTCTCACCATTATAAAGTACAAAACGGAGTAATCACGACGTTCTAGTCAATATCGCCTCATGAGCTCACATACCTGAGGGCTTGGTGCTTCAGTCACCTGTTATTTTATTTTGGACTCCATCGTCTCGACCACATGTAGGATTACAGTACTTTTCGCAGTCTTCTTCTTCTTCTTCTTCTTCTTCTTCTTCTTTTGGTTTTATG